CCCGATCGTCAACAAAATATCACTCGCCTCCAGGGCAGGCGACTGGAAAAAGACACTGGTGTTCGGTCAAACCGGTTGAAACAAAATCGTCACTCCCAAAATAACTATGCAAAATAACGATCTAAAGTCGAACCATTCGAGCCACAATATTAATATCAAGATGACTTTCGTTGCTTTTGACAATGATAAACTTACCGAAAAGCCGTATCATTCTCGGTTGCTAACGTCGGTATAATCCGCCATTTTATTTGAGTCTGTTTGCTACCTGACTCTGCCCCGTGACGTCATCATGTGCGCTATAGAAGGAGGTCTGTGATTCGTTGACTAAAATAGTCGATAGTGGGTCTCGTTGAAATCTCGTTACATAGGCATCGGATCAGATGTAGGTAGGGCGGAATTAAAAAAAAATCACAAAATCAAAGTAAAATAATAAAATAAAAGGGCATTAATAACAAATATAATAAAAGATAAAATTAAAATAAGTTTATAGCCAAAATAATTAAAGCCCGTACACTACATCAGATTTTAATCAGATTGGGGGACGATAGTCATTCTCGTCGTCTCATCATGAATACAACTTTGGTTGTGCGACACTTGATAATTATCTGACACAGTTCTATGAGTTGTTACACTATTATTTCCAAATAACTGAGGATTATATACAGGAGGCACGCTTTCCTGGTTCATGCCTGGGTAAACAGTTACATCTGGAGGCGGTTGTATACCAAAATAATATGGCATACTAGGATAATACCTAGGCGGGACATTGAATGGATGGATGCCGATAAATATTTCCTTGTGTTCATCTAACTGTTTACTGCTCCCTGATGTTGGCGATGATAATAACGCGTCGACACTGAAACTACTCTGTTTCGATAAATGTTTGTTTTAACCGCATTTTCTGCATCTGGCAGTGGAGGTGAATGTTTCGTTGTCAGTTTGGTTGCTGTCGTTGTGGCGTTCTGGTTGGGTGGGTCACTATCACTGGCGCACTGTTTGGCAATCACTGAAATTTGCTGTTGCATATTTGACAGTACATCAAATACGTTGTCGAGTAGTTGTTCCCTGTCAGACTCTGCTTTACTGAACGGTACTGTCTTTTCTTGTTCAACTTCATATGTTTTCATACTTTCTGCTATTCCCAGTTTCAGTAAAATGTCATCGTGTTGTTTCAGAAGAACTAAAATTTTCACTGTTTTGGTATCCGATTACACTGGCCGACGCCGGTGAAATATTGTAATGTTCACTTCCTGATATCACAGCATTACCCGTTTCGTGCGGTAGTTCGCCTGGCCAATTAACTCCTTTCAGTTTCCACAAATCGACCACCTTGGATTTAGTTTTGTTATTTTGTTTCACATTTCAAAGTGGTGATTTTGCATCGAAATCAGATATGAGTTCCTGTATATCGTCAGATTCTGAGGGCAAGTTACCATGTAGAATTGTGTCAAGTTTCCTTGCATCAGTATTCACTTCTAGCCAGTTTACAGTGCCGTCAACGGATAGATATTTTTCTGTCTTGCACTAAACGACCTCTTATTTTTGAAGCATACGTGGTTTGACTGGATGCGATCGATGCTTTTAATCTCTGCACCTCAAGTTGTTTCTCTTTAATTTTGTCTTTGTACTTTTTCATTTCACTTCGTAAGTTACTCAATTTTCTTTTCTCACGTCGATGTTCATTACGATTTACGTCCTTGCAGAACGATGCAATTTCACACTTCGGATACCGACAATGTAAAACGTTATGACCCAATCGCTGGTGGCAGTTGCTACAAGATGGCCCTAAGTTTCCCGACGGTGTAGAAATTGGTCGAAAAGACTCTCCCAAACAGCTCAATTCTTTTTCAAGTTTAGACACAGTCAATGAAAGATCTCTGATTTCCAGTTCTTTATCGATTGTCATTTTTTCCACCGGGCTTAAGTATTTAAACTGACACGAGTCGTGGTCCCTGTCATCGTGTTGCTGCTCGTCGTGACGCGGTCGTTTTTTCATCGGTGAATTTTTACGTTTACCGCGTGTCGATGCTTGATTCGCGGTGTTCCCGAAATTTCCATATTCAAGGCAAACATCCGACGTAACTTGCTTGCAAACACCTTCATTTTCATCTTCAGCAAAACACACTTTGATCGGGGTACGCAGTTTGGACGATTCGTAAAGTAACAGTCTTTTATGTCCCGTAGGGATTCCCGGTAAAAAGTCCTGTAGGTCTTCCGCTGTTATTTGGTCATGCAAATTAGGCAATTGGACATAAACATTGCCACGTGTGAGTGTTTTTTTATTTTTAACCAGAAAATAAACAGCAATTTTAACGGTGTTCCAATAAGAATTCATTGGTCAAATTTTCACAGAATGTTCTTTCGATAAAAATCTATATAAAAAACTATTTTTGATTGAAATTCACAAATAAACTGCATCTCTACCTTAAGCGTGCAATTGCCCGTATTAAAACTGGTATATCCAGCCCTTCGTAAGGCAGAAACATACTTTAAAAGTTCGGAGTCAATATTTTGGAGCCATGATTCCAGTTGATTTTCTCTGGTTGGCGTTTGAAACGGCCTTAAATCTCTGCTATACTTCATTTTGTCTGACACCGCACGTGAACAGGTTGTTTTGAAGCAGTGGGCGAGGTTTATCCTTTTTATTTTGGCGCGTCAACCTTTTCAGTTTGGCGCGTCGATGTTTTCGTTTGACAAGTTAGCTGACAGCTAGTCAATTAATTGGGCCACGCGCACCGGTGGCGGCGTCTTTTTTATTACGTTTTGAACACTTGCTTGACTTCCGCAGTAAATAGCCGACCTTATAGGGAAATCAGTCTCGTATTGGAAAGCATGTTTCCGGGAAGAGGTATCGAGGTGGCATGGCAAGTAGATTTCCTCCCCAGGACGCCGAGTTGGGCGTCGGTGCCGAGAGGGTGACGGTGAATATGGTGTCGAGCGACCAACATAGTAAACCAAACTTAGAACTCGCGATACTGGTGCAGACGACTATGGTCGAACAACCATGAAAACTAAATGGCGGGACTTTGATGTTGCACATTTAGCACACAAATAAAAGACACGCCCACAGTT